GTGTTTTTAGTCATTTCTTGAAGATGGCTAAGGCCTCAGCTGCACGGATTGAGTTGGGCAGGTCATTCCACCAGGAGGGAACATTTAATGTAAAAGTTCGTGAAAGTGATTTTGTGCCTCTTTGGGATGGCACAATAAAGCGACGTTCACTTGCAGATATTATGTTATAGTTGTATTGTCTTGTATTGTGTGTTTTTTGCTAATGGACCTTGAGTCTGGAAATAAAGTTGAACTAAATTTCCCCCATTGTATTATTTAACAATACATGGAAATTAAACATAATTTAGCACTGGAGAATATTAATATCATACTTTTGGATACAAGTAATGGCACATCCCACTCAAAATTATAATAATAATAATAATTATAAAATATTGTCCCAAAAACCTGAACAACAAACAATTATGCTACTTTAGTTATATATGACTGGCTTTTTACATAATATGGTCTAAATTAATAAAATAAAATAATACAGATGTGCTTATTTGCCCTATTTCAACTATATTATAAATAACCCTGCTTTACCATTGGACTTGAATATAAAATGTCTAAAGCTAAACTACACTTAGGTAAAAATAAAATTAACATGTCTGTGTTCAATTTGTGTTCAGTTGTACTGTTCAAACTGTGCTATATTAGACTTAACTGTTTTCAAATACATACAAATATGTGACCTGATACACTACATCATTTATGATGACCTGGACAGACTTAGGACAGTTTCAGATGTTTAGTGAAGCAGTCAGCGCTAAACTCGGTCATGTCAAACGTTTCTTCTCTACACAACCAATCGACGACACAAAGAGTGAGAGAAACCCCCAGTGCTGCTTGACCCCAGAGGTCACGGCTTTGTCCGTTCTGTCCCCCCCCGCTAACAAAAACTTCAGAGGGTCACATTCCTCCCCCAGACCCCCGGATACTCAGCTGTCACGAACAAACCCAGGATATTCCCCTCGCACAGGCTTTCCAATACAACGACTCGCACTGTTGTCCAAGCAAGGTGCTTGTGTTACCTTGAGCTTAAACGAGCTGCTCAGAGAAGACGCTGTGAAGTGAAGGAAAATCAAACATGCATCTGATCCCAATACCTTCCAAAAAGTTCACAACAAGTGTCAAATCTGTTTTAAAGTAATAGTTTAAAAAATAATAATAATAAAGTAATAAAAATAAAACCAAAAAATATTCTCGCACTCAGGCCATCCAAGATGTAGATGAGTTTGTATCTTCATCAGAACAGATTTGGAGAAATGTAGCATTACATCACTTGCTCACCAATGGATCCTCTGCAGTGAATGGGTGCCGTCAGAATGAGAGTACAAACAGCTGATAAAAACATCACAATAATCCACACCACTCCAGTTCATCAGTTAACATCTTGAGAAGTGAAAAGCTGCACGTTTGTAAGAAATAAATCCATCATTAAGACATTTTTAAATCTCAAACCGAGTCCTCCATCCATAATATTGCTTTCTCCAGTGAAAAAGTTTTCTTGTCTGAAAAAAATGGCACATTTTCAGTACATTTTTATGTGTTATTTTTGTATTATTTGTATATTTAATATTTGTATATTTTTAGTTTTGATTTTAATTTGAGTTTATTATGTTTCAATTTAGCTTTCATTTATATTTATATTACTGTATTTTATTTATATTATTATTATTTACATTGAGGATTTTTAAGTTTTTCATCTGACAGAATAGTCCATCTGCCATCAGTGGTTCAACCGTAACGTTATGAAGTGACGAGTATACTTTTTTGTACGCGATGGGAAAAAAAACGACTTTATTCAACAATTCGTCTCCTCTGTGTCTCTCCGCAACAGTACAAAAAGTATTCTCGTCGCTTCATAACGTTACGGTTGAACCACTGATGGCAGATGGACTATTCTGACGATGTCTTTCATACTTTTCTGGACCTTGACAGTGTAATTTACTTGGCAGTCAATTGGACAGTCACAAGCCTCCCAGTTTTCATCCAAAATATCTTCAATTGTGTTCCGAAGACGAACGAAGCTTTTACGGGTTTGGAGCGACATGGGGGTAAGTGATTATTGACAAAATTTTCATTTTGGGGTGGAGTAACCCTTTAAGCAAATAAAATGCTTAACATTTCCAAACTTTTTGTGTCTGTGTTGGAATGCATACAGTATGTGTTTTTGCTGCGAAATGTGTGTATCAAAAATATTCAAGCATGTATTTGAGGTATATTTGGTTATATATGTTTAGAGGTAACTGGTAATGTTTTCTTTTAACAAAACAAAACATGAAGAGTTTTTTTAATAACATGAATAATATGAAGAGAGAGAGAAAGTCATGATCCACTTGAGCTCCTACGTTTTTTTGCAATCTTTGATCTCTAGAGTGAAACAGGCATAAACCAAAGAAAAAAGTGAGAGGAATATTAAGGTGACCATGATAGCTGTGAATTTCTTTGCTGCTTCTTCAACAAGGCAACTAAAGAGCACTGAAACGGAGCAATCAGGAGGAAAACTGGATAAAGCAGAAGATACTGGAATCAGTTCACAACCAAATAACAGGCAAGACTGAATCTCCATCTACACTGCATTTTAAAAGACTATTAGAAATGAGTGAGACAGAACTAGAAAGTTTCGTTAAGTTGAAATATAGTAAAGTATAGAAAACTAGCAGCAGTCTGAGTGACAGTTCAAAAGTGAAAAAAAAACCCAATGGAAGCCATTGCAGGATAGCCCCTCCCCCACTCCATCATCACATACCCACAGACTATCAAGAGCGCAAAAGACAAGAAAGCCTATAAATACAGCCTGCTGAAGAACAACCTAGAGACCCTAATGGCAGACGTTTCACACAAAGGGGACAGAGCCATCATCACTAATCTGCTCCTCTACACAACAGACTGCAATCTTTGGCACACGGTCATCTGTAAATACTAGAAAAGTTATAGAAAAATAGGCATCTGCAACGACAGACAAATCCAAATTTATGAAGAAAATGACACTAACAAGGCATTTCTAACTGTAAATATCTATAATAATGGAACCATAATGTTCCAGGGGACTGAAGCATCTCTTAGCTCTGTCCAGGCAAACTTCACCAGCCTAAAAGCTCTGGCAGAGGCTGAGAAACAAACAGTGATGCTGCAGGAGGCTGTGATGCCCACAGCTCAAGGGAGAGGCTAGAGGAGATGGAGCTTAACCCTGCTGAACACGACCCACAGCTGGAACAGTCTGTCAATCAGATCAGAAACAGCCTCCCCCTAAGAGGTAGAGCTGGTGGAGCTCAGGGAACAAACACTCTCCCATGCAATATCCAGCGAACGCCTACAACACCTGGAAAAGTCAAAACTCAATCACCTCACACGTGACTTTGAAGCTAGTGTTGAGGAGCTAAAAGGAGAGATATGCAAGCTGCAGCATGATAGGGAGACCCTGAATAAAGAACTGAAAACAGCCAGCTGCTGCTCAGAGAAGGAGAAATACAAAGCCTGAGAGAACAAACAGAGAGCCTCACACACCCAGCTCTCGCACCACCCAGACAACAGAAGCCCACAGTCCAACACCTGAGTCCAGCACCACAGCAGCAGCGCCACTGACACCACAGGCAGAGGCCCCTGAGGGCCCCCAAGAGCAAGGAAATGACCCACAGAATGCAGAAGTCATCATCTTAATTGATTCAAATGGCAAGTTCATCAATGAAAAACAGCTATTTCCTGGCCACAAAACATTAAATCTCTGGTGGATATTGCCCTACAGGGAGAATCTGGGTGAACCCAACCACGTTCACGAATGACCTGCGGGCACAGCAAGAGCGAGCGGCAGATTCAGTGACACGGGTGGCCATAAAAGCAACACAAACCTTCCCGACTTCAAAAGTAGTTATCTCCACCATCCTGCCCAGATCAGACTTCCATCCTCGCACCATACAAAGAGTAAATGCAGACATCTCACGTAGATGTGCTGGAATGCCAAATGTTCACCTGGCACATCATCCCTCATTGGACCTCTGCTACCATGTCCACCTCTGTAAAGACAGTGTTCGTGTGTTTGCCAAAACTCTTAAAGACGTGGCCCTGGGCCGAACCCCTGCAAGCCCCCCAAAGAACGCTAGAGCAGCCACTACCCTTCAGCCAGTGAGACGCTTTCCCCCAACAGCACCACAGAACATCATCTCTCCAGGCTCGGCTGAGCAGTACTCTACAAACCCTACCCACAGGCCCGCATCCCAAGCCACTATGCACCCACCCCACTAAGCTGTACAACATTAGATGGGCACAAAACATCACAGAAAAATATGTGACAGCAATTGGCCATCCAAAAGTATGCTTACTTATAGACAACTTTCTAGGCAGAATGTATCCTCACAATCGAGATGGTGTCAATCTAGCTGTAGAGAACATAAATTATATATTTGAATATTTGGCCAATTTATCTAACCTCACATCCTCTAAGAAAATCCATAAAAGCACACAAGAAAATGAAAAATTGATTTAGGCTGTAAAACCATGAGGAAAACATTAAGACAATTATCAAATCAAAAACACAGACAACCAAACAATGCAGATTTACGCCATCAATATTGTGAAGAACTTAAACAGTATAAAAGTACACTCAGAAAAAAAGAGAGAACAGTATAATCCAAAATCAACTAAAAGCTATTGAAGAATCCGTAAATTCTAACAATTTCTGGGATAACTGGAATTACTTGCATTAAAAAACATCATGAACAAGCAGCCATACAAAACGGAGAACATATGAAAAAATTACTCATATGGAACATACAATTGGTAAATATCAAAACCCATTAGACTACCCCATTACAGAAAATGAACTGATTGATAAAATCCAGGCCCTAAAAAACAAAAAAGCAAGTGAACCAGATGACATCCTCGACTAATTGCTCAAGAACACAGAGCACAAATTAAGATTCCCTGAAACCTGGAATCGAGGACTCATAATTCAAGAGTGGAGATGAATCAGACCCAAACAATTACAGAGACATCTGTGTAAGCATCTATCTGGGGAAGCTGTTCTGCAATATCATCAACACAAGACTTGTACACTTCCTTACAGAGCACAATGTCCTCAGCAAAAGTCAAATTGGATTCTTACCAAATTATAGAACAACAGACCACATCTTCACCCTACCCTGATCGACAAATACGTTAACCAAAACAAAACCAAAATATTTGCTTGCTTTGATTCAATTTGGCATGAAGGTCTGCTGTCAAAACTTCTAGAATCAGATATTGGGGGTAAAACATACAATATTATAAAAACAGTGTATTCAAACAATCAATGTGCAATTAAAATAACGAACAGAATTCTTCACTCAAGGGCAGGGTGTGAGGCAGGGCTGTCCACTATCACCGACTCTCTTCAATATCTACATTAATTAATTGGCGAAACTCCTAGAACAATCAACAGCACCTGGCCTCACACTGCATGACTCCAACATAAAGTTCTTGCTGTTTGCAGATGATCTGGTTCTGCTGTCTCCAACAGAAGAGGGTCTACAGCAGAACCTAGACATCCGGCACAAGTTCTGTCAGACCTGGTCCTGACTATTAATCCTAACAAAACTAGAGTACTAACATTCCAGAAATGACCCATATGTCAGGGAAGGAGACATAATTTCACCCTTAGTATGACCAAAACTGAATATGCCACAAACTACACATACCTCGGGCTAATTTGCCTGCGAATGAACTACACTGAACAAAATTATAAACGCAACACTTTTGTTTTTGCCCCCCCATAGGCTAGCCACAATAAAAGGCCACTCTAAAATGTGCGGTTTTATCACACAGCACAAAGCCACAGATGGCGCAAGTTTTGAGGGAGCAAACATACAAGAATATTTCTGTGCTAATTGCATTTTTTTTTTCAAATAACTGATTCATCATTGAAATTACATAAAGATAAAAAGCATATAGCTGTGTGATTCAGTAATGTAAATCAAAGTTCAGGTTCATTTGATTTATTATTTGGGGTAAGTATACTTTGAAACATTGATTTTCCTTTGAGAGCGAGGCTGTTTTGGGATGTAACAGTTTAGAAATAGTTAACCACCCTGCGGATAGACTGGATGTTGGGATTCTCAGCTTGCCAATCCATAAATAAGCGGTAGTTTCCTCTTTCCACAATGTACATGCGGCCACGATAGTTTGGCTCCTCGTACATGACCCAACTAAAATGGAAGAGGGTAAAAAAGAGAGATATTATTTTGTTTTCAATTGATTCTTCTATATGAATGACATTAAAAATTGATGACCATTGTTACATTTGTACATCATTTCAATTGCATTATTTACAGTTATAAAAAAAAATGCAAAATGCGTTTTCTCAAATGCATCACGTTGCATACATTTAATATGCTAAACTTGATGCAAATAACTTAGCAATGAAAGATTCTGAGCTTCTGCTCAACTTACAGTTTTGCTACAGTAGAGGTTAAACAGCTTTATCTTATTCTGAGCATTTTTTAACTATTCAAGGTTTTTGGGACATTGGAAAAATACTTGATTACTATTAAAGCATCGCTTGATGTTTGGCCTTGCAGAACTTACGCTCCATCTCCATAGACTTTAATGGAGTTGAAGCAGTTCTTGCTGAATCCGGTGCTCTGGAGGAAGGGACAGTCGTCACACAGTTCAACACACTGACCGGTGAAGTTTTGACCCTCATAAAGCTCCATCCTGTACTGCTCCCCGTGCTGACAGACACAGACAAGCACATTATAAAAGAGGTGAATCATACAGTCAAGACTGAAAATCTCAGAGGTCAGAAGTTTGACCCTTGACAGCATGAAATGGACTGCTTACTATGTTGTTTGCAGGATGCAGATTTTCTTTGTGCATTGAATACTTGCTGACCAAACTAATCTAATCACTCTCTATAGAGTAGAGTACAGTGATTAGTATAATGCGCAGTGTTAGTTTAATGTACAGAGATATTTTTATATTACATTTTCAAAATATATGTCTATATATTTTTAACTTTTAAGTATTTTCTAATTCTATATGTTTACATTTTTATTTCAATTTTGTGTCTCTCTTCAATTTTATACATAAAGTTAAACTACAGTAAATGAAAATAAGAAATGTTGGCAACTTGGATTTTTAGAGTTGTAAATAAATCAAGATTATATAAAAATACAGTTGCAGTCTTTCTGCTTCTGCTTAATTCACCTTGCCATTACAATACATTTCTTTTTGCAGTTATTTATTAAATTTACTGTAAATTTTGGAAGTGAAAATTATTTCAAAATAAATCCTACAGCCTTTTTTTCAGTGTAGCTGAAATAAATGTAGTTTAAGTTTTTTAAATAATTTATTTCAAGTGAAGAAAATGTTTTATGGGTTTAGGTGTAGTATTGGTTTACTATAATAACCTTGACAATGTGTCCCACAATGCAATTTACTGATAAATGATCCCAAATGGACTGTCAAAGGTTAATAAAAATGTATATGAAAAAAAAAATTATGCAAAACTTTTTTTTTTTTAGTCTGGACTCCACTTGATTTAAACAATTTAATGATGTCATGCAACAGTTTAAAAATATTTATTTTTATTTTTCAAAAACATAACATTATAAAAATGATTTTTCAAAGTTGTAAATAAAGGTTATTGGAGTATGTTCTACATGAAAATACCATTTCAGTTTTTCTACTTCAACGTCACACTCAATTCAATGTGTCACTTGCCGTTTCTCTGTAATTGTTTGTGAAATTTATTTCTGGGTGAAAACGGTTTCTCTTAGCAGTACACTTCATCTTTTCATAAAGTGTTTTGATCCTCACCATTTTGATTGGTTTGCAGGAGCCCATGTGATCATTGTGGGCGTTCCAGCGTTGGAAGTCGGGATACTCTCCTTTTTCCAGCATGTACTGCTGTCCCTTGAAATCGGGATGGTCGAAACACACCCAGGCCCCGCTCTCCACGCGGATGGAGTTCACCCTGTTCATGAAACCACGGTCCTGGAAGTTTTCACAGTCTCCGAATACCTCCAGCCTCTGGCCTGTGAAGCACTTCCCCTCGTAGAACACTATCTGGGAGAAGAGGAGGAAAAACTCTTGATTTATTGAGTTTTTTGATTCAGCTACAGTCACCGGTGGTGAAACAGACTCTGTGAAACTGAAACTGCATGAGATCACAGCGTGAGATTCATTAAACACTCTGAACACTTCCCATTTCGTGAAGTTTCTTACTCCATCCTGGCATTAAACCAGCAGAGCATATGGAGCAAATGTAAGTTAGAATAGCTTGTTTGGGCAACTGCATTAATCATTTTATGGTTTTACTTCGGAATATTTTTTTATGAAATGACAATCTTAAAAAATGAATGTTTCAAATGCATTAGAGGGCAACTGCATTAATCATTTTATGGTTTTACTTCGGAATATTTTTCCGAAAAATAAGGCAGTTTGTCACAGTGAAATGTCAAATGCTGGACACATTATCTATATTTCTTTATATTTGAAAAGGTATCTTAATCAAGATCACAGTTTGATCCCTAAGAGGAAATTTGGTCATAACAGTGAAAACATCAAACACAGAGTGCAGAAATATTTTTTGCCTATTTTTTACAGTTTGCCTAAACATGTATTCGACATTTCAGTTGTCAAATTCTGCTTTTTTAAATCTTTCACCATAGTTATCTAGCAGGCTACAAAGTTGAGGTCGAAATTGCAAAAAAATTGTTTGTGATAATCAGGGAAGCATCAGTTAGAATGGGCTGAAAAACATAAAAATGTCGTAATGTTCCAGGGGTTATTGATTTATAGCCATAATTATAATTTCAAGCTATTAGTGCAAATTAAAAACCTATTAAATAATTAGTTGTAATTTTTTGCTTGTTGTTAGAATTTAAATCCATATTTCTTCATAAAAATAGCTATTTGACTTTTTAAATTTGATTTTATTTCAGTTTTTTATTTCATTTTATTTTTTAGTTGAGGCCACAGGTAAAAATGCGTACTTGATGTTATTGTTGAGTTCTGCAGTACGGAATGTGTGCACTTAGATATTTAATGTAAATATATGCATTAATTTAAGAGTGCATTAATTTTGGGTGCATGAGATGCATATACTGGTATTGTAGGTATGCAAGTGTACATACAAAACTACAAAGTACAGTTGTGCAAATTGCAAATTATGCAAAAAGAAAAAGAAAAAAGTATGTTTGTATAAGTATGCAAAAATCTGTTGCATATTACAAGAGTACAGTATATACATGAAACTTTGTCTTTAATTGGTCAGCAAATGACAATATATCCTGAAATGTACTACTCACCTTCCCTGAATACTGTGACATTGTTCCCTGCCTGGATCCTGAGCAACTATCCAGTGGAGTGAGAGAGAAGAGAAAGACAGAGAGAGCAACCGGAGGGAAAAATCCGGTCTGTCTGATATATGTGGCCTATAGGCTCTGAAGTGTTATCACGAGGTTTTGCCCACAAAAGCGGCACAATGGAGAGCTTAGCGGTTTCTGCATCATGGACATTTTCTCTTACACTGCTCTGCTGATATCGGAGTTCAGGAGGGCGAGATGCACAATAGCACAATCGATTGTGGTAAAGCTCTGATTTACAGTCAATGTTTGGGTGTGAGAACGACTGCTGCTGCTGCTGCTGGCACACAGTCAAAACACAACACAGCTGAAGAACATAAACATGAGCAGAACCACAGAGATCCATCCATCCATCCATCCATCCCTCCATCCCTCCCTCCCTCCCTCCCTCCATCCATCCATCCATCCATCTATCTATCTATCTATCTATCTATCTATCTATCTATCTATCTATCGTTCATTCTCTATCCATCCATCCATCATCCATCCATCCATCCATCTATCCATCTATCTATCTATCTATCTATCTATCTATCGTTCATTCTCTATCCATCCATCCATCATCCATCCATCCATCCATCTATCCATCTATCTATCTATCTATCTATCTATC